GCTGCCTTCCATATTTGGAGCATTTGATTGTCATTCTGCTTTTGAAGTCTCAGTACTTGGGAAAGCTCACGTGCTTTCTCGGTAGATATATGTTTTTATATTACTTTTAATATGAAGTATTCATCAGATTAAAAAGCCATTTCATGTAATGGATTGCTTTACTTTCCTGTAAATGACTCACACTCACTGGTGATTTTCCAGGAGCAATATTCTTGCTGACCTTTGGAAGAGCTGCAGGGCTCTGTTCTCTTTGGGGCATTTGGAGAGAAGGGATGCATATGCAACACTTTCTTTGTATTTGTCTTTCTTTCCTGTTACTCATGAACAAAAAGATCTATATGTTCGTAGCAATGAAACAGTGTTTGATTTGAGAGATCAGACAGAATTCTGGAATGAAATTAAAAAGGGATTGGTAAGCACTACTTGGTCTATTAATTTTGTTAAAGTATTTGTCGCACACCGGAAAACTATAAAACAATAAAACTATATAAGACTTTGGGCTACTCCTCCTATTAGGTTGACCTTTTGGGATGGAACCCCAAGTCTTAACATATATAGACTTTGGGCTATTCCTCCTGTAAGGTTGACCTTTTAGGATGGAACCCCGGGTCTTAACAAATTTGAGATGTTATCCATTCATGGAAAATATTGCTGCTGTATATTATCTCGACTTCCCTGATTTTTCCATGCATTTGATAAACCCTATGACAATTATGGTCTTAGAATTTCATGTCCTTATTCCTTCTTAAGAATGATGCGACAGGAAGGAGGCACTGAACCTTTCCAGTTTGCACAGTGTGCATGAATTTAGTGTTAAATTGTTAAATAATTAATTCACACTATAAAAATTACATGTCACCAACCCCAACATTGTCAGGCTTAAGTTGCTGGTGGTGGTGATGATGTATATGTTACAGAGTTGGGGTAACATGAAATTCTTAAGAAGGTTCAGTGCCTCCTTCCTGTCGCATCATTCTTAAGAAGGAATAAGGACATGAAATTCTAAGACCATAATTGTCATAGGGTTTATCAAATGCATGGAAAAATCAGGGAAGTCGAGATAATATACAGCAGCAATATTTTCCATGAATGGATAACATCTCAAATTTGTTAAGACCCGGGGTTCCATCCTAAAAGGTCAACCTTACAGGAGGAGTAGCCCAAAGTCTATATATGTTAAGACTTGGGGTTCCATCCTAAAAGGTCAAATTGAGATAATATACAGAGTGCTCGTCTTTTAATCAGCCGAGTAAAAGTGTACATCGAGCTCTATTATATATTACAGAGTGCTCGTCTAGGTTAAATCTAAAAGGTTTGAGTGTTAAATTTACAACTAATGTCTCAAATTAACTTTATTTGATTTCCCGCATTGGCCCATTCTTCTCCGCAAACACTCCAACAATCATGGTGCAATGATATTATCTCTATTGTCTTGATTCTTTTAGGTCAGTAAAGAGAGCTTAGTGAGGAAGCAATCCCTGCACACTTTGAGACGAACGATATATTCAAGTGGGGAACCTCAAATCAACTCTAGTGTTAAAATCCTTGAAGGGAGTAGTTCAGTTCCTCGTGGAATGACAAAGAGAGATCGGTGGGCTGAGACAGAAGCCAAGTCTCTAGGGATTGGTGAAATACGTAATTCCACTGCTAAATCTTCTAGAAGTTCACAGAAATGGGAGGCATTCTTTCTTTTGTATGAAATGCTTGAAGAGTATGGTACACACTTGGTTGTGGCAGCATGGAATCACCAGGTTCGGACTTACAAATATGATCTGCACGCGTTGGTACCTTCGTTAACATGTGATTTGTGAATACTATGTTTAGTTTTTTTCTAAATAGAAAAGAAAGACATAGTCAAATGTACTCAAAGTGGAACTTCTCCGGACTTATTTTAACACTACAATATAGTAGTTATATTAGGTGATTTATTGTAGTTATAGTATTTTGCTTCATGATATGTTGAGATTTGAAATACTTCCTCTCTATTATACCATATGTGTACACATTTGCCATTGATTACTTTAGCAGTTCTCAATTTTTTTTTGTTCCTTGACTGCTGACTTCATTTATGATTTACTACTTAACAGATGTCTATTTACCTTTTTGCTTCCCTTCAGATGACTGTGCTGCTGCATTCTTCTCCATCTGCAGAGACTGTATTAAACAGCGAGCCTCACGGGATGTGTATGGACACTTTAGAGGAAACTTTTGGCTGGTTAATTTTACTGTGGGAGCGTGGCTTTTGCCATGATAATCCTCATGGTAAAAGAGCTTTTGAATTTAATATTTTTGGCATTACTTTATTTTACTTGGTGTTGTTATTTCACATGACGACCTATCTGATTTTTGGAAACTAACAGCTTTTATTTTATGATGCAGTAAGGTGCCTGATTATGCATTCTTTTCTGGGTATTGAGTGGATAAAGTATGAACAATGTGCAAAACTAATTCCCTCTAATTTTATATTTGGGCCACTTATGGAAGGCTTGAATGATCCTGTGCACCATAAAGATTTTGGTTTGTTTTCCTTTCCCCTCACCATCATCATCATCAACACTTGTAAGTTTGAGAGAATAGAATGACTTGATTTATTCCATCACCCGGGTACAATATATATAGGATACAAGTCTAACAAACTAAATGATGAGATCCTAAAAATTAGGATCTGACTACCTAACTATCTTTATCTCATACGTGTGAGATTTACATCAGATAAGACTAAGTATTTATCTACAAATTAATCTAACTATACATTTTTACACTCCCCCTCAAGTTGGTGAATATATATCATACATTCCCAACTTGCTTACTAGTTTTTCAAACACTGGTTTGAACAATCCTTTTGTTAGAATATCAGCAGTTTGATCCCTGGTAGGCACAAATGGTGTACACACAATTCCAGCTTCGATTTTCTCTTTGATAAAGTGTCTATCCACTTCAATGTGTTTTGTTCTGTCATGTAGGACTGGATTGTGTGCAATGCTAATAGCTGCCTTGTTGTCACAATATAGTCTCATAGGTAACTCCAATTCCATATTTAGTTCTTTGATCACCCTCTTGATCCAAAGAAGTTCACATATACCATTGGCCATTGATCTGAATTCTGCCTCTGCACTGCTTCTAGCTACTACATTCTGCTTCTTACTTCTCCAAGTCACTAGATTTCCCCATACATAAGTGCAGTACCCTGAAGTAGATCTTCTATCACTTACTGATCCTGCATAATCAGCATCTGTGAAGGCCTCTACTGCCCTACTATGGTTCTTTTTGAAAAACAAACCTTTTCCAGGACAACTTTTCAAATACCTAAGAATTCTGTAGGCTGCCTCAAGATGTTCTTTATATGGACAGTGCATAAACTGACTTACCATGCTAACTGCAAAAGCAATATCAGGTCTGGTATGTGCTAAGTATATAAGTCTTCCTACCAATCTCTGATATTGTTGCACATTGACTGGAACCCCATCTCTGACATCTCCTAACTTCTGGTTTGAGTCTATAGGAGTGTCAGCTGGTTTACATGCACTCATCCCTGTTTCTTGAAGAAGATCTAAAACATACTTCCTTTGAGATACAATTATTCCCTCTTTTGATCTAGCTATTTCCATGCCAAGAAAGTATTTCAAATCTCCCAGATCTTTGACTTCAAATTCAGCAGCAAGTTTTTTCTTCAGGCTTTGTGTTTCTTCATGAAAGTCTCCTGTAATGATAATATCATCTACATAGACAATTAATATAGCAATCTCCCCCTTACTTGAACATTTTATAAATAGAGTATGGTCAGCTTGGGCCTGTTTATATCCCTGTTTTTTAACAAACTGTGTGAACCTATCAAACCAAGCCCTTGGGGACTGTTTGAGTCCATACAGGGATCTTTCTAGTTTACATACTCTTGAACCAAACTTGTTTTCAAACCCAGGAGGAGGATTCATGTAAACTTCCTCCTCAAGTTTTCCATTTAAAAAAGCATTCTTCACATCCAACTGTTGAAGAGGCCAATCTAAATTTGCAGCCAGGGATAGAAGAATTCTGATAGTATTCAGCTTTGCAACTGGAGCAAAGGTCTCGGTGTAATCTATGCCATAGGTTTGTGTATAACCTTTGGCAACTAACCTTGCCTTATACCTCTCAAGAGTGCCATCTGCCTTGAACTTAGGAGTGAAAATCCATCTACATCCAACTGTGGGCTTATCTTTAGGTAGCTCTACAACCTTCCATGTCTGATTCTTTTCAAGAGCATCCATCTCTTCCAAAACAGCCTTTTTCCACTCAGGTTTAGATAGAGCTTCCTGTATGGTTGATGGGATAGAAACAGAGGAGACAATAGAAGAAAAGGTTGCAAATGTAGAGGATAATCTAGAATAGGAAACATGGTTTGAGATAGGATATTTGACACATGACCTTCTTTCTTTTCTGAGAGCTATAGGTAAATCAAGATCAGTTGAGTCATTACCTTTTTCATTTACTGACATCTGGTCAGATTCATTAACAGATGTAGGTTCAAAGACTTCCTCTTCTCTTTGATTTGGAACCTTTCTCTCATAAACCTTGCCAAAGAACTTACTGATCTGCAGTTCTTCACCTCCCAGTTTATCAGTTGTATTCATTTCATTATTTTTAGATGCTTGACCATTTTCTAATGCATCTAAGTTTCTCATAGAATGCATATCTAGATTAATGTCAAGAAAATCAAGATTGTCATGAATATGTGACACATTGGTAGCATCTTCATTAAAACTCTCCCCCTGAAGATGAGTATCAAAAAACACTTGATTTTCAACAAAAACAGTGTCCATTGAAATAAACATCTTTTTTGTTGAAGGATCAAAGCATTTATACCCTTTCTGTGTGGATGAAATACCTAAAAAGACACACTTAGTTCCTCTAGGATCAAATTTACTTGCTGTTTTGTCTGGATTTTTAATAAAAACAGTGCAACCAAAGATTTTTAAAGGAAGAGTGCTAATCAATCTAGTAGTAGGGTAACATTCCTGCAGAATACTAATTGGAGTTTTGAACCCTAAAACTTTTGATGGCATCCTATTTATTAAATAGGTAGCATGTAAAACAGCATCTCCCCATAAATATTTTGGAACTTTCATTGAAAACATGATTGCACGTGTAACTTCAAGTAAATGCCTATTTTTTCTCTCAGCAATTCCATTCTGAGCAGGAGTATTAATGCAAGAACTTTGATGAATTATTCCTTTTTCAGCAAAAAAATGATTTAGGTTTGTAGAAAAGTATTCACGGCCATTATCACTTCTTACCATTTTTATATTGGTATTGAATTGAGTTTGGACCATTGCATAAAACTGCTTAAATACATTTTCTACTTCTGATTTTTCTTTGATCAAAAATACCCATGTCATTCTTGTATGATCATCAATAATTGTTACAAACCATCTCTTTCCTTTTAAAGTAGGGATTCTAGATGCTCCCCAAATATCACTATGCACAAGAGTAAAAGGGCTGGTAGGTTTGTAACTGTGGGGAAGATAAGAATTTTTATGATGCTTTGCAAGTGTACACATATCACAATGAAACTGTGAAACATTTTTATTATGAAATAATTGAGGAAACAACTTTTTTAAATAATGGAAACTAGGATGACCTAGTCTATAATGAATTAAATACAACTCCTTATCACTGGGAAACGTAATAGTTTGCAGACAAGTAGTTCTTTGACCTTGTTTATTTGATTCAGTCCCTTTATCAAATATATAGAGTCCATCTTCTTCCCTAGCACTGCCAATCATCTTCCCCGATGCCAGATCCTGAAAAATGCAATAGGAAGGATAGAATTTAACACAACATTGAAGATCTTTGGTTAATTTGCTAACAGAAACAAGATTACAGGATAGATTTGGGACATGTAAGACTTTAGAAAGGTCAATAGAAGTGGAAACTTTAATATTTCCAGTTCCTGCAATGGCTGAAAGAGAGCCATCTGCAACTTTTATTTTCTTATCCCCTGCACAGGGTTTATAAGAAGAGTATAGATTGGAAATGGAGGTCATGTGGTCTGTTGCACCTGAGTCAATGACCCAGGTGGCATTTGGTTTTCCAGAACAGAAAAATGATGCAATTTTACCATTCTGAGCAAAAGAACAAGAAGGGTTTTCTGATTTAGGGTTCTTTTGGGTATTAAGAAGTTGTAGGAGCTGCTCTATCTGCTCCTTGGTGAAAATTGGCTGCTTGAAATTGACTTGTTGCTCTTGATCAGTTTCAGGTATGGCAGTATGTAGGGCCCTTTCAACTTTTTTCTGTCCTGCTCCAGGTGGTTTGCCATGAATCTTCCAACAAGTCTCCCTAGTATGCCACAGTTTCTTGCAATGATCACACCAAGGCTTTTTCTTCTCATTTCCTTTGGCAATCAGTGCTGAGGACTCTCCTGGATCATCATGATGGACTGAAGTGTTATTCATGACCTTTTTCCTACTATCTTCCACCCTGATTTCAGAAAATACCTCCCTGATTGAAGGTAGAGGTTTTTTTCCAAGTATTCTTCCCTTAACTTCATCCAGGTCTCTATTAATTCCTGCTAGGAACATATAGACCCTATCATTTTCCTCCCTCTTTTTGTGTCTTGCCAGATCCTTGGCACTTTCCCATTCTTCAGCATCATAGCATTGGTCTAACTCTTGCCATAGGGATACCATCTCATTATAGTATGAGATGACATCTCTACTTCCTTGTTTAGACTGCCACAGCTTTGTTTTTAATTCATAAATCTGAGAAGAGTTCTCAAGATCTGAATAGGTTTCTTTGATGGAATCCCATACCTCTTTTGCAGTTTTCATGAACATGTGAGGTTTGGCGATTGATGCATCCATTGAACTGAGAAGCCAGGCTGTTACCAAAGAGTTTTCTGACCTCCAGACACTGTAGCCATCATCACCACTTTTCTTCTCTGCTATCTCACCCGTTATGTATCCCAGCTTTCCTCTTCCATCAATTGCCAGCTTGACAGACTGTGACCATTCCAGATAATTAGTTCCATTCAATCTATGTCCAGTAATGAGCATAGATGAATTAATCGAGGCCTGATAGTTTGTCATTTGGCTAATTTGGGAGTTAGGGTGAAGGGTTTGTGAGTGAGGGGAAGAACCAGAGTGCTCGGTTTCCACCATTGTGGTGTTTAAACAGCCTGCTCTGATACCATGTAAGTTTGAGAGAATAGAATGACTTGATTTATTCCATCACCCGGGTACAATATATATAGGATACAAGTCTAACAAACTAAATGATGAGATCCTAAAAATTAGGATCTGACTACCTAACTATCTTTATCTCATACGTGTGAGATTTACATCAGATAAGACTAAGTATTTATCTACAAATTAATCTAACTATACATTTTTACAACACTTCACTCCCAAGGTTCAATTACATGTGGCCGGTGGAATAAACTTCAAAAGTGCTAATTGATTTAGGACTTCATGCAGTGTTTGTGTTTACTTGTGCTTGCGATAAGTGATTTATTTTAGGAATTATAGAGAAAGTGGTCTGTGATGAAAAATAAGAAGGAATAATCAGATGAAATTCTAAAACTGCCATTAGTATAGGTTATTTCTACTTGCATGGAAAAAGTGAGCTATGAATAGCGATATTTGCTATTGTCATGTACTCATGTTTGTTGCTCCTAAACAGCTAAGTTGTTCCCCCTTTAATGGTAATTGGTATATTGTTAGAAATGAACCATTAAATGTTTATGGTCGATCGTGGATAATGTTATTACATTACACAATTTGAAGAAATTAAACATTACCCTTTGTTATAGTTTTATGATGTTGATAGCCATCATGAGTGCAGAGTATGCTGCATGACAAATTGCTTTGTAGTCTATTCTGTTTGCTTTTTTTCCAGGTTCAGGGGTTTGTTGGGGCTTTTAAGCTGTGTGTATTTGTTAGATCTTGATAGGGAGGTGCCACAAAGAAAGTCATGTTTCTTCATTTTCTATTCCTTTTTCTTGACTAGATGCATATGGATTTTCAGGTGTAAAAGGTGTTTATTCTACAAGGACAATTGAAGATGCTGCTACATTTCTACGTGTATATGCCAACTCTCTCCATCAAAGGTTGGACTATCATACACTGGTGACTAAATCCAATTTCCTTATCAAGAATGCCCTAAAATAGCTTTATAAACATAAACCCAAATACATAAATGTATGCCAAACTGCAAATCTGCTAGATGTCAGTTGAAAGCTTATCATCTCAACTCAGGTAGATCATAGGAAAAAGATGCACATGTGATTTTTATAGATTTGGGGAAGTTACCCAATCTTGCACCTAAGCAAATACGTTGCGAGCAATGATAAAAAAGTTGTATCCCGATCTATTGACATCATCTATGATGTGCATTGCTGTTTGAAATTTTGGCGGTGTGACAAGATTTTCTAATCATGATCATGCCACATCAAGGATCCACATTGTACCCTTTCAGCCTTACTCATATGCATTTGGCGCAGATGAGCTAGTGATGCCATCTAAAATTAGGTAAAATAATGTATGTTGTTTGCTGGTGACTGGGCATCAGCAGTTGAACCTATTGCATATTAATTTGCACTTAGGTTTGTTTTTTGGATAAACAAGATAGCCACCCGCATTTGATGCGATGTGCTATTGGGCTGACCCGGAGGAACACTCCAAACCCTATCCTTCTGCTGGGATGCGGATGCTGGGATGGGCTTGTTTGATGGGCTTCGTTGCTGCCAACAAAGTGGGCTTCGCTACAGCCTGGGATGATGGACTTCGGATGATGCTGTTAAGGAGACGAGAGCTAGCCCTAGTCCAGGGATGCGTTTGAGATATTAATCGGGAACGAGAAAAATAATCAGCAGAGTTTAATGAAGCTATTCTTGTTAAACTAATCGGCGCCCGACCTTGTCAAGACGCACAAATTAATTCTCCAAAAACGTACTTTATTCCATAGCAAAAACCCCTTTATATAGAGAGGCTGCTTAGAGTTCTAAATAGGAAAGAAACAATAATTAGAAACAGGACTAGAATCAGGACTTAAAAATAGAATTAGGAAAAAGTATCCTTGTTTCCCAGTTCAGCCATATTAAGTAACTAGAATAAGGAAATAAACTATAATTAGGAAACCAACTATAATTAGGAAACCAACTAGAATTAGGAAACTATATCCTATTCCCAACTTCAGCCACTTCCAGATGTAGACTCTCGGGCCCTTGGACCATTTATGCGTCGTTTATAAGTGTGACCCCAAAAAGAGTCCACAACAGATGCAGTAAGGTTTTTGAGCCCTCCTGGCTTCGAAGCCTAACTGCTTCAGGTGGACTTGGACTTCTGCGAATTTATTTGGGTCCGACAGATTATGGCCCAATATTTGGTAGTTTTTTCTGTGAATCTATGTTGATATTTTTGGTACTGAGCCGGGGCCTGTCCCGTGCTAGTCATGATTTCTTTTGCAAAATTTCTTCTCTCCCTTACCCTTTCCGTGAGGTGGGTGGGGGGGGGGGGGAGGGGGTTTAGTTACTATGTTAACTTAGTTTACTAGCTTAGATAGTCAATTCTGACACATGTATGTTGTTACTTTTGGATGATCTTTTTAATATACTTGCATTTCATCCAAAAAATATGAATAAAATCTCCAAGTTGATCTCCAGTCTTCAGGTATCTTTGACTCTTTGTAGAGATCAATCCTTTCTCTCGAATAAAATGACAATCAACCTCAATTTTCTTTATTCTCTCATGAAATACTGGATTATTGGCAATCTGTACAGCAGCCTGGTTATCGGACCACAACTTAGCAGACATTGGTTTCTTCAATCTGATTTCACTCATCAAATGGTTTATCTCTCCTGTTTTTCAGTTTTCTGTTCCCTGTAGATATGCATATCTAATGTTTGGTTCAATATGAGAAACAATTATTCCAGCTTTCTGAAGTAATGATTGAAACATATACGATGTTTCTACTAATAGCTGAAATCTACTCCTTATTTTCTGCTAACCTTGAGTCAATATCTGCAGTCCTAGGCTAACAATAGAATGGAAAGCCTTTTCCCTCCTCTTAATAATTAACAGAATTGTGTTTCGTACAGGGTGGCTTTTCTTAGAAGCTTGGCATCTGTTGCTAAAACAATCAATTTTGGGCGACCTGGACTAATGTGCCTCGTGAAGTGTATTTTATCTGCTGCTTGTGGAGTTAAAAAGCATAGCAATTCTGAAAATGATCCAGAGAATGGTGTATTGGTCGGCACTATGCACAGATCTGCACAAGACACTTCCACAGAGAAAGCAGACTTTCTGGATTTGTGCAGATATTTTGTTGAAAGCAGTAGACAACATTTCAATCCCGCTTATAGGCATCAAGGTTTCACATTAGCTATTTATCTGTTTACATCTTTAATATCTATTAAGACTATTATGAATGTTCTCTCAATGTTCGCAGTTTGTGAGGGAATTCTTGATGCTGTTATGTCTGTGATGGCTCCACATGATGTGCCTCTTGAAACACTACTGCTTTTTGCTGCAAGCTTGCCACGAGAACTGACTGATAATGGGGGTAGGGAGAATTTTATGTCACTTGTTCCATTTTGCATTCTAGACTAGTCTGGTCACACGTCTTTCCACTTCTAGCTCCATTTGTGTTAGTATTCATTTTTATTATCACATGTGTTTCACCTTAATTTAAATTTTAGGATATCAAAGAGGATGTTGGTTACACATGTACCAATTCATATATCTTGTGTAAGCTAGACTAACAAATTTAAATATCTTATGTCAGCCAGACTAACTTATAAACTAATTTATGTATCTTGCCCAAGCCACACTTAAGCAAGCAAGCCACACTTAAGCAAGCAAGTCACACATATTTTGGTGATATGTAGAGTCAGATGTGCTAATCTTTAGCTACTCATGCAGTCATGAGCGCACGATGATGGATGTGTTTCTCAATTAACTTTACTAATTATTTGTTTGTCAAGTGATTGCTAATTATTGAAAGATTTCTCAAGTAAACTATTTTCTTTGGTTTGCTTTAGTAGATAGCTTATAATTTTAAAACTGGAAAGTTAAATTGTGAAATAATTAAATATTGGCAATAACAACTTAAATAACAAGGCTTGCAACATGAATTTAATTATTGAGCAAGAATGTCAATTCAAATTGAGCATAGTTAGAGTGAGTACAAATAAATTGAATGACAAAGCGAATTCAATTAGAATGTCAACATCAAATGATTAAGGGTTGGTTTGCAAACGCTTTAAAAAAGCACTTCTCGGCTTTTGGCTTTAAAAAAACACTTCTTTTACCAAACACTACAACTTTTATTTTTCTCGACTTTCGTGTCAAAAGTGCTTTTACTTTTTCTATTACACAAAAAGCACTTATTTTACCTAACACTACCAACTTTTACTTTTCAAAATCACTTTTTTCTCAAACACTATCAACTTTTATTTAATCACTTCTCCCCATTTCATTATAAAAAACACTTTTTTTAAAGCAGAAGCTGTTGCAAACAGACCCTAAGTCAGTTAAGAGTGATGAGTTGAATATTCGAGATATGGTATGTTCCTTCGTCTAATTGGGAGTATTTTTTATTAGAGGTGGGCTAGTGATTTTATGTCACACACATGATTTAAAAATTTTAATATTTGCAATAAATATCCTATCTCGAGACTTCATTAATGCACTCAATATGGTTGCTTAAGTTATTTCTAATCTAAGAGACAAGTTAGAAATAACTTTCTCAAGTTTAGTTTAAAAAGTAGCCAGTTTTATCAATTAATCAGGTTCAACTTTTTAGACCAGTCTAAACAATTAATTCAAACTTGAAACTCCTAATTTTGGGCCAACCAAGTCAACCCAACAACAAACAACAACATCCAAGCCGTATTCCCAAAAGATAACCAAGTCAACCCATAATCTTTAATTTAATTCATGCCCAAAAATGGCTTAGCTAAACAGTTCATGAGTCATGACTAAATTCGTCAACTGAAATAATAAATTAAGAGACATCAGCAAGAAATAATTGCAAGCATGATAAAATATACAAGAATGAAAATTATGAATATAAATTATCAAATTTCAGAATTTTCAATTAACAAAACTGAACGACAAAGTACAAACATCATATAATTGCTCTACACATTCAAAATAATAAAGTTTATATAAATAACAACAAATCTAGAGCTAAAAGCCTAAAACTAAAACTAAAATTTTCAAACAAATTGAAACATAAAATTTATACCTAACACGAATACACGATTGGATATAAGAACTTCATATTCATAATCTACGCAGTTAAAGGAGTAAAATACATTTAAAGTTACTCTTAAGAACAAACTTGAGGAAGTTGTGAAAACTCAAGCTTTGCTGCAAAGGAGGAGCTACTGCCAGGAAGAACA